AGACGAATTTATAAATTCCTCATTTCTCAATAACTTTTCGTTTAATTTATTCTACAAATTTGACACTAATATTCAGAATGGAATAATTCAATCGTTTAATTCACAAATAAAAGAAGAATCAGACAAATTCAAAATAATAAATCTAATTATTAACGAAATACCAAAAAATTTTGCGTGATATCCGAAATACTATTATCATTTATAATACACACAGGGAGTTTTTGCTTCCATCAAGAGCTGCGGAAATTTTATAAACGTTATTTCAAATCTTAGTGATGAGACAAGTTACAATGAAGAAAACGTTATTAATATTTACAATATTTTACGAGAGAATGTGACAAATTACTAATTGAAAATGAAAAATCAATACAAGAAATATTTTCAAACAAACAGGCAATATCAAAGAAAATTCATTTAATGGTTATACGATTCTCAGGTCAGATTACAAAACGGTTATTTTAGAGCGCCTTTTCGCGGAATTTGGAAATACAAATGCAGATTTGTTAGCTAATCTAATACTCACGAATTGTATTTGGAAAAGCGATATTCTGCAATACGTTTTGGAAAACTTTGAGCCATCTCAAGTAACAAATAAATTACTTTTATTCAGAATTTCTAATAAATTCTCAGTTTCAATGCACACATTAAGTATCCATCGTTTTGTAAACAAGATACTCGAGATTTCAATCAAGATTTACTTTACAGACGAAAGTTTGCAAAACGAAAGATTAGAATTCGTTATCAAAACAATTTTAGATACAAAAGAAGAATATTTAGAATACGTACCAAAAGAACTAATTGAAAGATTAAAAATTACAGCAATGAAGATGAAATAAGCAAATTATAATGATATAATTTTTTAATATGAATAAATATTTGAGTGGAAATAAATCATATAAAGAATGAGGAACTTGATAAGTGCTTGTGATCAGACAAATCTGTTTTTCAATAAGACATCTTAGAAAAAAAAATGTAATTTGACTATTTCAATATCATAAACACATTTCTATTGTTATAAAAGTCTTAAGTGCTTGTGATCAGACAAATCTGTTTTTCAATAAGACATCTTAGAAAAAAAAATGTAATTTGACTATTTCAATATCATAAACACATTTCTATTGTTATAAAAGTCTTAAGTGCTTGTGATCAGACAAATCTGTTTTTCAATAAGACATCTTAGAAACAAACTTACTTAATTTTTGTTTATTCTATCATTCCCTTACTAAATAAATCTTTAACTTTCCTTCTAGTTATATTTATCTATTCATCATCAATTTATGTTTTTTAACTTTTTTTCATATATATTTTTTCTGTTATATACGAAAACGATAAAAACAGTTTGACAGAAAAGTGACAACTTTACGTGTCAAAAATATAAAAAGTGATATTTTATTCATCATTATCTTCTTCATAATTTATTTCATATTCTTCGTCTTACCAACAAAAGATGGGAATGTGAACAATTGCGGGCAATTTTTAGCCATTTTGGCTTGGAACTAGAGCCTGCGAGGTACATGGATAGTATCAGTACCTCACAGGCTCTAGTTCTCTATATGGTGCCGAGAAATTTTGGTGAAATGTGGTCGCATTTCACCAAAATTTTTTCGGCGCCATAGGATGAATTGGAGGGTGAGAGATATTATTTCATACAATACTACTCTCACCCTCCAATTCCCAGCCAAATGGCTAAAAATTGCCCGCAATGTGAACAATTGCGGGCAATTTTTAGCCATTTTGGCTTGGAACTAGAGCCTGCGAGGTACATGGATAGTATCAGTACCTCACAGGCTCTAGTTCTCTATATGGCGCCGAGAAATTTTGGTGAAATGTGGTCGCATTTCACCAAAATTTTTTCGGCGCCATAGGATGAATTGGAGGGTGAGAGATATTATTTCATACAATACTACTCTCACCCTCCAATTCCCAGCCAAAATGGCTAAAAATTGCCCGCAATGTGAACAATTGCGGGCAATTTTTAGCCATTTTGGCTTGGAACTAGAGCCTGCGAGGTACATGGATAGTATCAGTACCTCACAGGCTCTAGTTCTCTATATGGCGCCGAGAAATTTTGGTGAAATGTGGTCGCATTTCACCAAAATTTTTTCGGCGCCATAGGATGAATTGGAGGGTGAGAGATATTATTTCATACAATACTACTCTCACCCTCCAATTCCCAGCCAAAATGGCTAAAAATTGCCCGCAATGTGAACAATTGCGGGCAATTTTTAGCCATTTTGGCTTGGAACTAGAGCCTGCGAGGTACATGGATAGTATCAGTACCTCACAGGCTCTAGTTCTCTATATGGCGCCGAGAAATTTTGGTGAAATGTGGTCGCATTTCACCAAAATTTTTTCGGCGCCATAGGATGAATTGGAGGGTGAGAGATATTATTTCATACAATACTACTCTCACCCTCCAATTCCCAGCCAAAATGGCTAAAAATTGCCCGCAATGTGAACAATTGCGGGCAATTTTTAGCCATTTTGGCTTGGAACTAGAGCCTGCGAGGTACATGGATAGTATCAGTACCTCACAGGCTCTAGTTCTCTATATGGCGCCGAGAAATTTTGGTGAAATGTGGTCGCATTTCACCAAAATTTTTTCGGCGCCATAGGATGAATTGGAGGGTGAGAGATATTATTTCATATACAATACTACTCTCACCCTCCAATTCCCAGCCAAAATGGCTAAAAATTGCCCGCAATGTGAACAATTGCGGGCAATTTTTAGCCATTTTGGCTTGGAACTAGAGCCTGCGAGGTACATGGATAGTATCAGTACCTCACAGGCTCTAGTTCTCTATATGGCGCCGAGAAATTTTGGTGAAATGTGGTCGCATTTCACCAAAATTTTTTCGGCGCCATAGGATGAATTGGAGGGTGAGAGATATTATTTCATACAATACTACTCTCACCCTCCAATTCCCAGCCAAAATGGCTAAAAATTGCCCGCAATGTGAACAATTGCGGGCAATTTTTAGCCATTTTGGCTTGGAACTAGAGCCTGCGAGGTACATGGATAGTATCAGTACCTCACAGGCTCTAGTTCTCTATATGGCGCCGAGAAATTTTGGTGAAATGTGGTCGCATTTCACCAAAATTTTTTCGGCGCCATAGGATGAATTGGAGGGTGAGAGATATTATTTCATACAATACTACTCTCACCCTCCAATTCCCAGCCAAAATGGCTAAAAATTGCCCGCAATGTGAACAATTGCGGGCAATTTTTAGCCATTTTGGCTTGGAACTAGAGCCTGCGAGGTACATGGATAGTATCAGTACCTCACAGGCTCTAGTTCTCTATATGGCGCCGAGAAATTTTGGTGAAATGTGGTCGCATTTCACCAAAATTTTTTCGGCGCCATAGGATGAATTGGAGGGTGAGAGATATTATTTCATACAATACTACTCTCACCCTCAATTTTAATTACTTAAACTCATTCTATTTTTTTGACATGTAAATGTCACTTTTACTGAGATCTGACACAATGTCAGATCTCTTTTTTTCGTATATAAGATTTCTGAATACCTACTGTAATATATTTTTCATTTATTATTTATTCAATTGCTTTTCAATTTATTTTCAAAACATTATTCAAATTTATTTTATCATTAATATATTTTTATATTATAAATTTATTTAAAACTTATTAAAACATGTTATTACGTTATTAATTTTTACTTTTTCATTTTTATACCCTTTTCAATTTTCTTCTCAAATTTTCAATGCTTCTCAAATATTTCTCCATTCAAATATATCTTTACTAAAAATTTCTTTTTAAAAATCACAAATTCACTTATATTCTTATACGAATCAATCTGTATCATATTACCAAACTTCACAAACACATCTAACTATTCAAATCATTTCAAATTTAAAATCATATAAATTAATATTATGAATATCCTGTTCTTTTTCCGAATACCCTTTATTCCCACATTTCAATATATCTCTAAGTATGCAATAGTACCGATAAAACATTAATATCCCTGATATTTATAAAAATGTAATATCTGATCTTTTGATGATTATCGGTATCATATATGTTTATTAGTATTACCATATCTATTATTACATACACTAACAGTATATGACATTTACACTTTTATTAAACCAAAATTCAAAAGAATCTTTTTGCAATTTCGTCCAATATGAAATTAAATCCAATGAAACATACACAACATTCTCCTATATCTTCTGTAGTTGCATATTATATATTCAAACGATTTTTAAATAATGTTTCTATCAAATGTGTAGTGATTCCGTCCCGATTAAAAATTGAGTACTTTCATCCCGATTTATCGGGATAAAATTGAATACTTTTATCCCGATTTCCCGATCAATTCCGATGCCGCCTGGACACACTGAGTATTGAATTGCAGATTTGTTTCATATGTAACATAAACAATTTGGTTTAGGTTTCCATATGGAAAGCAATAAAGTTTGTATTTAGTTGTTCACATGCTTTTGTTTGGAAATGGATGACTTTAGATAAAAAATTGAGTGGAATGGAACAATTCGTTTTTAAATGCGACGTTCCTAGTATGTATGACCTTGACCATATCATTTTGTTGGATGTAAACACCAATGCTACTAAAATTAGCAATGGAATCTTTAAAATGTACGTTCGAGTTGAATAATTAACATTCCAACAAAAAATATCATTGATAAATGCAACTAAGAACTCGATGATATTGATGATTATTGATATTTCTAATCACATAAACAGGAATGAATTCAAAATTACACATATAAAAAATGTCACTTTTTTGTATTACCCATTTGCAATTATTTCAGAATTAAAAATAATAGTCATAATATATTTACAATTTATTTCTTTTAATTAACGGGTTTGAAGACCAACTGTAATTCTAAACTCATAAAAATGAAATAATTCAAACAAAGAAAACCAATACAAATGCATCGGTTTAATTTCTTTACTAAAAACAAAAGCAATTATATAGTAACAATTGCTTTAATTAGTGATTAAAGTTAGACATTATTTGAAATGAAGAGCATCCATGAGGTTCGCTGTCAATGTGGCAACAGAATTCGTATGTCTTTCTATTTCCTCAGCTTTTTCCTGCTCTTCTTCTTGATTAATCCCGAAATCTTCGGTAATGTCAAAACCTACTCTCTCATTAACAAAGTCTTGATCTGGGCTGTTTAGTGGCACATTCTGGGATGAAGGGATGGGTTCTTCCTCATTATCATTGTTAGAGAATTGTAAATTTGGTCCGAGATTCTGGTACAAAGGTGGCTTAGCAATTGGAATGAACTGACTTTGCGTTGTGTATGCTTGTGGCTTATAATAGCCTTTGTTTTCCGAAAAAGGAACAGAAGCACGAATATTTTGAATGTCTTCGAGCCATTGCATGAGTCTTGGCAAACCGCCCGGTCTTTCACATTGAGGCGTATATTGATTAAGAATTGGAAAATCAGAATCGTTATTCAAATTTAAAACTCGACCCCAACACGATAAGACATCATCTTCAGTCCAGCCGACACTGTATAAAAGATCGGTTGTGATCTGCTCAATTTCATCGTCTGTAAAGATGTATTTGGGCCATTGTTCTTCGCTGATGACATTAATTTTTTGTAAATCTGCGCCAGATTGGTCAAGGATAGTTTGTTTGACTAATCTATTAAAGTGACCGAGATTATAATACTCAGTCATTAATTGATGAGCACATGCACTCATTAAGTCATTTACTTCCTTTTTGGCTTTTGCAAATTTTCTAAATAAAGCAAAGAGGTGTTCAACCGGCAATGTGGTAATATGTTGAAAGTTAATACTTGGATCCTGATCTAAAATGCCGTAAATGATTAATAAAGATGTCGCCATCTTCTTCATATGTATAATTCGGGAGAAGAAATACGCTTTGAATTTGATTGTGCCATCGTTATTAACCACATCTTTCAAGCGGTCTGAGATCTTAAGTGCATGAGCGAGTCTAAGATAAAACTGCAAAATGTAAAATGCAAGCTTGATCATAGACATACGTGCTTCTACAGGCAACTGAAGATTTCTGATTGCTTCAAACCAAAGAGTCAATGGGAGAAGCCAAACACCTTCTTCAAAGCATCCATGCTTGAGCAGTTCCCACACATTATTGACATTAAAAAGTGTCACTGGATACTTATCGTTTAGCTTTGATGATTTATCTTTATTATTAATTGCGTCACCTATGTGGCAATACTGTCTAATTTTCTCTATATCGACATGCCTTGTCGGATCATACGGTTGCATCAATATCAATTTTCCATCAAAAACAATAAGCGTTCTTAAATTCTTTCCGATATGAACGACATCTGCAATAAATATTATATGTATATCCTTATATTTTGCATTTCTCATTTCATTGACTAATCCGTTGAAATCTGTTATCAAAAAGAACCAATGATTGAAATATACAATATAAATAGCATCATATGACTTATCTCCATCTGTTGTGACAAAAGGAACCTGAGTTTTCCTTTGAAGTAATTCAATATAATTTAATATTTTTTCCAAAACCGATGCTGCACGCCCATTTGTATTTTCTATAATATGGACACATACATTTGGGCCTTCAAAGTTGAGTGGCATTAAATAAATAGCAAAAAGATCTTGAATCTTTTTGCTATTTGTGTTCTCTTTCCAGAGTTTTCCAGAAATAGCATCTATGCCTATAGTGAACGAAGATTTAGAGCTTAAATTATCATAAAATTTCAGAAATTTTTGTAAGATTGGTATTTCAGGGGACTCTGAAAGGACAAGTTGTTTCCAGATGTTTACATCACTTCCAAAAGCTCTATATAATGTTGATTTCGCTGGCAATAAAAGTTTTTGACGCTCAAGCAAATATTCTGTAGGCCCAACATTATATAAGGTGAAACAAAATCGGGGCGGTGCCATGTGAGGTGAAATTTATCATACACCGATTGGACCTTTTGCTTTCCCGAAAACATAGAATTTATATTGGGGGCCAAATATATGTGCATATATCTATACTAATCAAGCCGTATTTACTCATATAGTATTGAGGAATAATGTGTTTTATATAAGATATGAATTTCAAAAATTTTGTTTTATTTCATTTTGAATACAATGAGGTATCTATATATATACTATATATTGTGTTTGTAAACTCATTTTGGTCACATATCCATTTTTTAATATGCATCTTATTTGAGATTTCAAATTTTTATCGACAATCATATATGATCACATCGGCATTTGGAGATACTTATCTTGTATCTCCAAATATCGATGTGATCATTGTATTTAATTGTATATTGACCAAGAGATTCCGATGCAGAATATTCAAAGTAGATAGTTTTTCCATTCTGTACACATAGGTGCAGGGTCTATCACTGGCACCCTGCATCTATATGTGCAGAATGGGAAAAGCTTGCACTTTTACCTTTCGATGCGAATGTTGCAAACACTTTTCCCATTCTGCACATATATATGCAGGGTCTATCACTGGCACCCTGCACCAATATGTGCAGAATGGGAAAAGCGCGCACTTTTGTTCTTCGATGCGAATGTGTCGGACATAATTCCTGATTTGCTCATATATTTGCAGGGTCTATCACTAGGACCCTGCACCTATATGAGCAAATCAGGAATTGCTTGCACTTTTTCACTTGAATGTGATTCATTGAATTTCAATTCGAGAAAGGAGTTTACAAATGCAGGGTATTGTTCCTTTACCCTGCATTTGTAAACTCCTTTCTCGAATAGCTTGCACTTTTTTCAAAGAATGTTAAACATCGAATTTCAATTCGAGAAAGGAGTTTACAAATGCAGGGTAAAGGGACAATACCCTGCATTTGTTAACTCCTTTCTTGTAAAACCTTCCTCCAAAAAAATATAAAGATCACATTCTTCTTAAAACTCTCAAAATCTCATTATTTCAATCTTATAATCATAAATAAACATACTCTTTCTATCTAATATTTCTCTATTCCTTAATTTTCTTATGAAATTTGTTATTTTTTATTTAATTTTTAAAATTTTCAATTTTATGATAATTTATTCTATTCTCATTATATAATAATATTGTTCATTTTTATTTTTTTAATTTTTCAATGCATACGATAATTTTTAATTCAATTTTTAAACGAATGTTTTGATGGGATGAGCTTACTGAGCATAGGCTCATCCCATCAAAACATTCCCTTAAAAACTCTGGCCTTCATCGAGGCCAGAGTTTACAATTCATCAGCTCAGAGCCAAGTTCCTCGACGGTCGTCCTCATTAGGCCCGATCCGAGAGGAACTTGGCTCTTCATTAAAATCACAAGCTCTGGCCATTGCTAAGGCCAGAGCTTCGCAAACCATCCTCGGGGCCGGTTTCCTCAAAGACCGCCCTGATTCGGGGGCGGCCGAGAGGAAACCAGCCCCGAGAGAGTTCCCATACGAAGCTCTGGCCCAAGCAAAGGCCAGAGCCTGCAAATACAATCCTCAGGGCCGAGTTTTGCGATGATCGTCGATCATGTCGACGGTCTCGCAAGAACTCGGCCCTGAAAGACATACAAATACAGGCTCTGGCCCTAGCAAAGGCCAGGGCTTCGCTTACTGTCCTCAGGGCCGGCTTTCTCAAATGCCGTCCTGATCTAGGGCGGCAGGAGAGGAATCCGGCCCTGGGAACATCCAAATACGAAGCTCTGGCCCAAGCAAAGGCCAGAGCCTGCAAAATACTCAATGTTCAACAATTACAAATCTCATGTCACCCAGAAAGCTATGAAGGAAGCCCTTTCTCTAGGTTAGGACTTCCTTCATAGCTTTCTGGTACTGAGTGGAGTGGTTTTGGCTTCCATTGCCGCTCACTCCAGTAAGATCACGAGATTGTACAAAAGCCACGGCAAGTGCATTCCAACACCATAAATACACTTGCCGTGGAATACGGTTGCGAGTGCCTGCTGCTTCAACCGAGATTTGCAGCAGACACTCGCAATGATAACTAAAATTCATCATAAAGCTGGGAAATGGGCCTTTTCTCAAGGTCAAAGCCCATTTCTCAGCTTTATGATATTGAAACGAACATTTTGAGAGGTTATTACTGTTTTTCCCGGAATCATCTTGAGATTCCGGGAAAGTCATAGCAAGTGTAATCTATTAGCATAGATACACTTGCTATGACACATATATGCCAGCATCTGCTGCTTACCCCCAAATAAGTAGCAGATGCTCGGCATCACATCTTGAGATCCTTATTATCTGCGTATTTTTCATTTTAATATATATAAATGTGTGTGTCTAACACAAGTCTATATGCGCCATGTAAAATATACACTAATACACACATATTGATCATAATTAATAAGATATCAAACTATAAAAACTGAGATATTACTATAAACTATATGTATTATTATTATATAGGTACCATACTATAAGGTCATATGAATATTATTGAAATTTGACACACTTTATATAATTTTATAATGTGAATAACTTGGGTCATAATTTTTTTACGTAATTCCTACACGAAATGATCGGCATTACCCTAGTCTATCTGCGTGCAAAATACCAAGGAACAAATCAAATACTCACCATATCTTTTTTTAAAAAGGTCCAATCGGTGTATGGTGATTTTCACCTCACATGACACAAACCCAACAAAATCTAAGCGTCTTTTGGTAATAACGTCGACTGTGTGGGTTGGGGAATCGCAAATTGTAAAGAATATTATTAATTATTATTTTAGTAAGGGGGTCAATTTCTTTGGGAAATGGAAAAAGCTCTGTGTAATCGTTAAGACAAATGTCTCCCAATGATCTAAAATCAGGATCTTCATTTTCTTCATTGACAATATTTTGAATTTGATCATTATTTTCTTCATTATCTGCTTGATCAATCATTTGACTACGCTCTTCATTCATTTTTCTCATATTAATTGATCTTTGTGACGAGATCGATCTCCTTTGTGACGCATTAACAATCCTGTTTTCAGTACCTTTTTGTAATTTTGGTGATTGCCTGTCGCTTGGATGATAGTTATGAAAACTAATAATTTCAATCAACGGAAATTGTGTATCTATTATTTCTCTTAAACCATTATATGATCCAGCATCATGGAATCTTAAGGTTAAATCAATGATAATTGGTTCATATACAGTAGTAGTATATGACGGGTTGTGTGACTTTTTTTGTAAACGTAAGAATTCATACAATATTGAACGATTTTGTATCATTATTTTTAACATTATTTTTAAAATAATTTATTTTTTTATTCTTACATAAATGACCCAACAAGTAAAACCAGATAAAATAGATTATCGAATTTTAGAGGATGGTGTTCCTGTTTATATTCAAAGATTTAAAGGGAAGCAATATTATAGAATTGTTAATCCTGAATATCTTAAACATCAATTTAAAAAGGAAGACTGTGAATTATTAAACGTTAATGAATATGAAAATGCTAAATCAAAACTGAGATATAAATATATTGGAAGTGATGAAAGGTGTAAAGATAAAGATAAAGTTTATTCAGTTTCATATAATGAATGGAAAACCAATAAGATAAGAAAACATTTAGGAGATTATGGGAAATGTTCTGAATTCTTCAAATCTAGTATGTATGAGAGAGTAAAAGAAATTAGAAATAATTATTTTCATGAATAAAAGATTCACTACCATAATGAAATACATAATTGAATGATTTTTGAACATACTTCCGAATAGCAGATTTTAAAAATTTATGAATAATTTATAAAAAGTTTTTATTCCTACAATTCCTATATTACCATTAATAAAAAGAATATATTTTTGCATAGATTCCAAATATGGTGTCAATTTTTTAAAAAATTTTGAATTCAATGAGTTATATCAAAAATAAAATTCTTGAATAGAGTAAAAAAATTTAAATAATTTATTTAAATATTTTCTTCTGACATTTTTGAATAATTTATTTTTTTAATTCGTAAGAAAATGAGTGGATCAAGATTCGTAACCGTCAATCAATTAATGGATGCTCTTTCACCAATTCTTGAAAATGTTAAACAAGTAGATGTTTATTTCGATGATTATGTAGAAAGTTTATATTATAAAGGTAAACATAATATTAAACCCATTGCTTTTGCATTTGATAATAAATTAATTGAAAATGTAAAAATTTGGGAATTAATTCCAGATATTGAATTTATAACAAATATTAAGGATAAATGGTTCAAACGAATTCCAACCACAAAAGTTCTTTGTAAATTAATGATCAAAACTGAGGAAAAAGAATTTCATGAATTTACATATCATCCAAATAAAGTTTCAGAACTAGAAAATGAAAAACTTCAGAAAAAATTAAACGATAGACTTTCAAATGATCGTATTGAAAAAATAAATAAACTAGCAGAAGTTGCATTTAATAATGAAATATTTGATGAATATAACCTTGAACTCAGTGATGGACTTTAAGTCCTGGGCACTTTTGTGTCTTGGACTTTAAGTCCTGGGCACTTTGTGCCTTGGACTTTAAGGACCCGGGCTCAACGAGTCATGATTTATGAAATCAATTATTTGATTTATTCTTTCTTCAATAATTTCTATTCTTTTTGTTAAATCATCAATTTTCATTAATGAGGTGATTCTTGATTGAGGAATAGATTTCAAACTAATCACTCCTTTTATTTTTGAAATTTTGAATCCATCAACTTTAAACATTTTATTCAATTTACATGTTGTCAATTCTTCAAATAATTTTTTATTATTAGCAGAATAGTCATTAAATTCTTCAACAGATGAAAAAATTTTTATTTCAGTAATTGGTTTAACAACGTTTATTTTTTGTTGAACATTTTCACTTTCATTTATTTCTTCCTCCTCTGTTTCATTTATTTTTAAAATCGGTTTCATTTATCATTAAATAAAAATTAGAATATAAGTGATGATATAAGTAGTATATATTGCGGGTTT